TTCCTTTCATAAATGTACAGACCCGCAATTAAATTTGTGTTAATCAGCCTGTATCCATGAATAAATAAAAACTCAATAGCAAGACTTCGCCGGTTAAAAAAAAAAAAAAAAAAAAATCTATTTAGATTACTAAAAACTCAAGTTTTTATTTAAGAAAGTTTATAAACAATAGAGAAAGATAATAATGATTCCTGAAAATAATGTTTCAAGTTGTATTAAGAAAAGTATAAAGATTTTATTAATAAAGAAGTATAAAAACTTCTTGCAAATATTTTTTTATGTGTTATCAAAGAATTAATAGAAAAAATTTTTACTTTAAATAATTTTATTTAAATATAAAAACTAAAATAATCAAACTATTATATTTATAGTAGTTTCAAAATTTAAAATTCAATTAAATATTTAAAAATTTAAAATTAATTTGATTTGATAAATTTTAAAATTTAAAATTTAATTTAATTAGTTTTAAAATTTAAAATCCAATCGAATTGAATTTAAAATTTAATTGGATTTAATTTGATTTTGAAACTTGAAACTGAAATTAATTTAATTGTAAATGAATTAAAAATATTAAAATTTGATTTAATCAAATTAAATCAAATTTATGAATCAATTAAATTTAGATTTAAAATTATGATCCCTATTAGGAACATTATAATAGGTTACTATTAATTTACAGTTATATAGCAATATGTAGTATATAGAGATAATTGATATTAAACTTGAAAATCCGATATCTATTTGTAGTGTTAATTTAAATCTTAAAAATTATTGATTTGAAATACTATAAAAAAAATAATCAATATCAAGGCAAAAAAGTAAATACTAAAGACACAAAAGAAAATTTACAATTAATTCTATAAACAAGTCTGAAATACAAAATATAAAAATTATAGAATAGGAACAAGATCAAAAAATTGATAAAAATAAATTCAAAAAATTAATAAATTAAATAAATAGAGAATCTATAATCAAGACAAAAGAAAACTAGAAGAAAAAAAGAAAGAATAGAAAATAAAGATCTTATAGAGATTTTAACAAATGAATTGAAATTTGGTATAAAGCGATCGGGTTTTAATTCATGTCAAATTCTGATAAGTAATTTGCAATGATGACCTGCAAACAATAATATTAGAAGTTAAAAGGATTTTTAACTAAACTATCACATGTTAACTTGAATTTTTGAAAAATTAATAATGATTTTTTCTTTAGAATATTACTAAAAATCATGTAACAATTAGTAAATTTTGGACAATAATAAATCTTTGAAATTTATAAATTGTATATATAATTTTTGAAAAAAAAAAAATATGAGAAACAATATAAACATTTAAATAATATTATACATAAAAATTTTTGAATGACTTGATTCGCAAAGTTAAAGTTTATGATAAATATATAGTAGGTGATTTCAAGCTTTAGTAATTATAAAAAAGATGTAAAATTTAAAAGTATAAAATATTTTTTTTAATTAAATTCAAACCAGGCACAGATTTATTTTTCATACTACATACTGTATAATAAGTGATGCTGCATTTATTATCAGTGAGATAATTACAAAAATCATGCAATACTACACGCACAAACTCATTCAGGTATCGGGGGGAAGACTTTTATTCCATTCCGGCATATCCATCTTTTAATTCTAGCGCATAACTTTCTGGCGACACGAAACTTTTTCTTTGCAACCAAAAGGTTCAAGTCATTTAAGGTCGGTTAGTCGGGAAGTAAGTGAAGAATCTGATGTGCGTAATGCATATGTACCTTGTCGACCATGGTCCATATTGGCCTCTTGGTGTTTGTCTCCTCCGCAACGGCGGCGCTCGGCTTCGAAGTTTGGCATCTCAAATTGGCAAGGTTCTCGACACTCGTTTTCTTCGGTTTATGGTCGCCACATTGATTGTTTATTAATGTGACGCTTAGAATGCGATCTTAATTTTAGATCAAATAATCCACAAACAGTCAATGCTCGTTTAACTTCGATCAAGATTAAACGAATTTACTGCATGCCGTACCATAAAGCTCGTTTCCATCAAATGTTTTCTTTATATCATAGGCTGCATCTAAGTTTGACACCTGTAACTCGATCATACCCATTTTCACGCCTTCCTCGGTGTGAAAAATTTTGACCTGATCAATCTCACCCCCGCTTTTTGAGAAGATTCGCTATGTAAGAATAGTCGTTATTAAAAGTATCCAAATGTTACGGCAAAATGCATGACGACCCGTTCCGTACCATGACATCAGCTTGCGTCGACGTCGTTGGTAAATTTTTCACGGTCAAACTCACGTTCGCCTTTACCAAATCATGACCCGCCGCGGCTCTGATTGCCTGTTCGGATGTGACTTCGTAATTCACCAGAATGTATCGTTCCAAACTTCCCCTCCGAAAGTTGGTAATGTTTTTGTTGTGATGGGTGTTCTTTCTGGTCACCGGGCATTGCCAATCAATAACGCATCCGCGCGAAGACTCGTCGTATTCCACACGAGACCTATCGTAGTACCATTTATCTTCCATGTCATATACCCAAACATGCTTCAAAAATCTTACGTGCTTCCGGTCTCCCGGCGAGATGAGAGGTATCTTCTACTTGCATCAAAAGTAAAGGTTCTTCGTTTGGAGTACTTTCGTTTTTGCGAATGAAGGGTGAGTATGTTCTTACCCTATAATCGCCGAAGCCATCCTGACACTCTTTTGCACCAACGGCCGATGAATGGCATTTCTTTCTGCCATCATGGTCCTCCATCATGTCGAACACTCGTTCCTTCCTCATCTTCCCCGTTACCTTTTCCATAATAGAAAGTAAAAGGAAAGAGAGATAAGTATGATAAGCCAGGAGAGGCTTCGGGTGTGCAAGTGCTTCTGAAAAAGTCGATGTTTTATGGTGATTAAACGGGAGGCAAAAGAAATGATCTCAATTTTTTCTTTAACCGAGAAATCAGCAATTCCTCAACGAGGCAATTATAAATAGGTATATACAGTATATACACTGTATATACTGTATATATTGTAGTGTTCTTTCGAGTTTCAATATAAATGAAACTTAAAAGGTTTAATGCATTAATGATGTCACGTATTTCGATAATAATCATGATCATGATTATTACTCATTTGGAGTGAATAATGCATTCCCATTCACTTCTTGGAAAAGATGGCATCAGATGAAGTGAAGTGTAAGAGACGAATTTTAAATAAATTTTGCATTGGATCATGATAATTTCGTCTACTGTCCGGTGATCAAATTCGTGAATTACATACTTTCCCCGTCTGATAGATGACACTCTGATCAATGATCATTCTTGACTCGTTCTTTCCTCACCATTGCGTTAATCTCCGTTTGGGCAATTGGGAATTCAAGTTCGGCTGCGAATTCCAATCAAAAGTTATGTTCATATTCACGTGACAAAATATAATGATGTCAAGAGAATTTTTTATTATATACTGTATGTACACTTTTTTATTGAGCATCGTAAAAGAAAAAAATTTGGTCATATCCTGTAAATCCCAATAACTCTATTGAGAATCCCTTTTCGTATTAAAAATTCGATTTTGAATGAAAATTTCTGAATTGAAATAAATTATGCACACTATGATATATTATAAAGTACAGAGTGCTCTACCGCAAATTCTTGTAAAAGAAATTCTATAAATTTCTAGCGTATAGCGATAAATATACACGCACGGAAGACGGGCAATAAGAGATGAATAAAAATTGCCAAACAGGAAAACCGGAATACCCGGGGAGAACCGGTCACGTCATGAATGGACGTTCGGCGAGGAGTAAATTTTATGTCGCCTGCGGACCTTCAAGCGGTGGTCGATCGTAAGGGACCATAGAGCACTCGCTCCTACGTTCGGAAAAAATTAAAGAACCACTACAATGTGTTAGGAGAATATTCGATAAATATAGGCTGATAAATGAGCATCACCTTCCTCGGACGGAATCATGAGAGACTACAAACCAGAAAGTTTCTACGTCTGCCTCCTGCAATCATCTTTGATATTTCATTGGCTCGTTTCTTGGACGACTCGAGACCATTTTCGGCGGCCCTGTTGTACCATTCGAGAGCCTTTTCTAGATCTTTTGCGGTGCCTTTGCCGTACTCGTAGCAGAGGCCTACCCGACACTGAGCGGTGGCGTATCCCATCTCCCCAGATGCCCTGAAACACTCGAATGCCTTAACGGGATCAGAATGAACACCGAATCCTATATCGTAACACCATCCGACATTATTTTGAGCAGAGGCGCATCCTTGATCGGCTGCACTCTGGAAAGCTTCAAAAGCCTTTTGCGGGTCTTTTTGCGTTCCCATGCCCTTATAATAGCACCAACCCAGATATACTTTTCCGCGTGCATCTCTGGCTTTCGAATAATTCTCGAAAGCTGCTTTTGGGTCTTCGAATTTTCCAAATCCGTGTTCGTTGAAAAACCCAATGGCGAAATAGTAGTTTGGAGATTCAAAGGGATTCTCCTCAAATATGTTCAACAGATCCCTGGATCTAAGTCCCTCGGCACGACATAAAGCTTCCAATCGATGAATAATCGTTGTATCAACGAGTTTCTCCCAGAGACCAAATATAGTGTATACTTTTTTTTTTATTTCTGTCACCCGGTTTGTTTCCTCAATCTCCAGATAATTTTCATCCAACCGATTCCTTTGAAAAATCAAGTTCGGAGGATCAATGCTAGTTGGACTATCGTTGATGTCATGATCACATATGCGCTTGTTGGCGGACGTAGAACTATCTGATTCACGATCTTTGGTAGGGTTTATGGGGTTCTTGCTGTCAGCGGATTTTTTGCCCACGGGACCCAACTCCCCGGTGCTTGTCGGAGGTGTCTCAATGGTGATCGATGAAGAATCAGTATCAGGCGTTGGAGTTTCCGAGTCATCATCATCCGGATCAAGATCTATCCATAGTACGTTTTCTTGTTAACAGAAAACGAAGCGTTAAAAAAACCGGAATGTTTAGAACGGGAGAATTAAGACAACTTACCATCGAACAAATTTTCTAGTTCAAGCCGTGCGATTGTAAGGGGGATTCGTTCTTCAGGGTTATACTTTGTCAATTCCATTATAAGTGTGCCGTAATCATCAGGTGTATTTTTGGGTAGTTTTTTGAGAAATTTTATCATAGAAGTAGGATTCCTTTTTTCTTCTTTAATCTGTTCACTCTCCATTCCTTCGTATGGGTGTTCACCGTCTCTGGCGACTAAAAAGAAAAGAAAAGAAAAGAAAAAAGAAGAGAGCTCAAGTTAATTGAGATTGGTGTGAATGAACGCATGGGAGAGAAGATAAGGATGAGTCACTTGCCTGACCATAAAATTAACCCGAAAGAATATATGTCAGATAGCTTGGGAAATCTAGTGGAAGTTAAAAAGATAGGTGGCTTCAGGATTATTAAAAAGAACTTTGACAAAATATTCCTGAGATTAACCTAATGTGGAATTTTACCTTTCAAAATACTCTCTCATTTTTGAATCTCGGCAAACGCGTTCCGGAGCCACATAATTTAAAGTGCCACCCGCTCTTCCGTGGTCAAGAATCATTTGGGACTTTGTTTTAGAAATTCCAAAATCCGCGAGTTTAGGTATCAGATTCGCGTCCAACAGAATGTTTTCCGGTTTCAGATCGAAATGGAGTACGTCGTTATTATGGCAGTACATCAATCCAAGAGCTATATCTCGACAGACCCGAGCCTTAAAACTGAAGTCAGTGGTGTGAGTCTTGAGATAACTCGAGAGGTTTCCATTCGGTGCGTACTCCAACACGAGTGAAAAGGAACGACGACCGTCCCGTATTACCCCAAAAAATTTTAATATATTATTGTTATTATCTAATTTAGAGTAGTTGGTGTATTCTTTCAAAAGGCTGTCCATGTCCCCCTGATTTTTTTGTTTCCACAAGGAAACGAAAGAGAAAGATGTTAATTTTCAAAAAGACTTTGTTGAAATTGGTATCATGAAGCTTTGACCGGTTAGCTACCTGACTCTTTTTTACCACCACGGTCTTATTCCGATAAGTGGCCAGACACACCTCACCCATAGCACCTCTTCCAACGATTATCGGTGGTTCATCGAATCGAACCATGCTCTTTCCTATCAATATCCTCTTTGACATTTTTTTAATTTTCTCTTTTTACTGACGAATTGGTGGAAGAAAGGCAAAACAAAGTGAAATAACAAAAGAAAAGAGAGCGGAGATAGCATAATAAATGCTAATCCCAGCTTTTTTTTTGCCGTAAACATGACGACATACAATGCGCGTTTTGTAGGACAAGATCCGATGACTCCATAAGACCAGAATGGTGAAAGGAAATTACCAGAAAGGTGCTGTCGATTTTTTTTTGAACGATGGCGCATCTTATCGACATTTCACAAGCACATAAGCTCGACATCACGCTTTTTTTTTTTTTTTTTTAATAGCAAATGAATAATCGAATGACAAAAGGTCAATATTCGGTTTCCCCGATATTCATTATCTCACATTACGTACAATACGCCGTCTATTTCAAAATACGAGTAGGCCATCTTTCGTAATATACGAATAATTAATCGCACTTTAATTTTATCATCCGTCTTCACAAACAATAAAGACCAAATATAGAAATCCTTATGTAAAAAATGATGTGCAGAAGCAGAAATGTATTCATTGAAAACGAACCAATCCAATTGAAATTTAGTTCGCCGCATCTCACTGATGCTAGAAAATCAACGTGCGTGAGAAATCGGGTCTCCACATTGTTTTACTACGCCATTGTCATTCATGCAATATTGTGCGATACACGATAACCTGTTCGAGGTCTGGTATTGGGCGCAACTCGATATCACACCCGCACGTTGTTATACACGACGAAAATTCGTAGATAAAACGGGGGTGTCATATTTTTATCTCTTTTGCGCATTCGATGAAAGATCACCTGAGAATCGAGCGTGAACGAATTTAGAAATGAAAGATGAATGGCGGGAAAATAATAATGAATCGCCGATAAGGCTCACTTCCCAAGGTGATCTTCAGCCAAACAAACCTGTAATTTAATTTGTTTTGTAAAGGCGATTGTCGAAAACAATCTAAACATTCTCTATTCAAAACAAATAAATATATGTATATGGTTTTTATGCACGAAGTTGTTTTACACAATAACATTGCCATTAAACGGGAATGTGATTTTTGACTTTCTTGTCCTTTTCGAAATATTGATATATTGTAAATATTGGATATATTTGATAAGCGATCAGAACGTGTACATGCATCATACGACATTATCTGTACACAATTAATCAAAAAGCAACTTTAATATTTTTGACACCTTTCATAGATTCCAATGTTAAAAAACAATAATCAATCGCGTACCTCTATATTTTCGTGCAACAATGTCTCAATATCAAATCTTGATATGCTCGTGATTAACTTTACTAAGCTTTATTTAGATGAATATCAATCATAGTTTCTTCTTTTAAACTCTAATTCCAAAAATTTCGTGACAAATCTTTTATTATCATTATTTTTTTTTTTTCTTAGAACTTATTTTTATCAAGTGGATCAATAGTAGAATAGGTTTGATTGAGAAATAAAACTAGAAGTGAATAAACTAGATACAATTTGGACATTCAAATGAATTATCATGTGTGCAAGCAAGATCCATTTCAAAACCTCATTTTAAAGATGACTTCATCATGAATATTAAGGATGTTGAGGCACCTAATAAATCGCTAATACATTAATAGTAAATCCACCTAATCACCCTATATATGATTCGATAACGAGACGAGCTTGTTAAGTTTAGCTTTTTTGTTATAGATACTATAGTAATTTATTTAAAAAAAAAATAGCACGATATTTTTTTTTTCCATCGCGGTGCATTCCCAACTTTATCCAAATAAACCAAGTTGGAAAATAATCATTTCGTAATGAAGTTGAATTTGTACTGGATTTCAGCAGTCACCTTGGCGCAGTCTAAAGTACCCCGTGATAAAAAAAAAAAAACCAATTTCACATCATTGTTCTCGCAGATTTATTATTGTATTCACTAAATGGCATCTGGGATACTTTTAGACACTATTTTCTTTTTTTTTTTTCTGCTTACCTCAAATTATCCGCGCCATTCAATTTAAGGTTCTGGTATAGATCCACGTAAGGGAATTGTCAATGTCTCTTGCATCCAGACCTCATATAGCATACACAGTACGTTCCGCCGCTGCCACTGACATAAGAATTTGTCATGTCTATTGTTTCATGGTTGATGCAGGGCTAAAGTCAATATGGAAACCTTGCGCGAGATAATTTGCGAAATGGTCGAAGTCCAGAGTGAGATCCTCAATCGCATCACATGAAAAAAAAATCTTTATGTCACGGGTCACACTAAGGGAGGTATTTTTAGTCTCCCTATAGGGCACCCCGGGTACTTCTTCGCTCTGCGCAATTATCTCATCGTATGATTTAATATGCACTATATTATAATTTTATAAAAACTGCATCATGCTATACTTTTGACGAGAGATGCAAATGCGGCCATTGTAGAAATTTGGCTTGATGCTGGGAACACATTTCTCTGCTCCTCTGGTGTAATATTTTCGAAGGCGGACAGGGATTTTTCGGACCCTATAATTGTGATCCTAACATTTGCATTATATACGTATTGTTTAAAAATGGGAGCCTAAAAATCATATTTAGTATTTTGGGTATTTTGGTCGCCGTCAAGAATAATCAGGGAGCCATTTTGTCACGTGAACTTTATCATTCTGATCATCTACAATCCCGCGCATAAGGATAAAATCCATCATTCGTTAACTTTTAAATACTCCTCCAATGGCGCATATCTGAATAATGAATACGTAAAAAGAGATAACTCTATTAATTTATCAACTGGCAGACAGATCACCGCTACCTACGGGAAATGGTGAGTTCGTGATACAGTTGTAGAGATCTATATCTTCCGAAAGGTATAGATAAAATGTAACTTTTTTTATGCGAACAGAATACGGTCAATTTTAAATTTAATATGTATATTAAATGAATAATGAAAACAATACTGTGAAACGGTCAACAATATAGCAAAATAATAGCGCATATTTTTATTGATCCTGCATAATTTTAATAATAACTTGGAAGGCTTACGTGAAGTCCTCTTAATCATGATGATTGTGCTTTCTGGGATGGGTTGTGCCGCCGACACATCTTTGTTATGAAATTGGATCCCTTCACAATCCACGCGTACAAAGAAAGTTATGTCATCGATCCATCTAAAAGCTGTATCAGGTGATAAAAAAATTCGGAGGCTGCATTTTATATTAGAAGATGAAATTCACATGTTGCTTATTACATTATATTTACTGATTAATAGACCATCGGCAACAAACTCCGTAGCGTAAGGTTCATCGGGTGTCAATGAAAAGTAATGCGCAACAACTCGAAACAACGTTTTACTGCATAACTTCAATGAGGGAGCGAGGTACAAATTGTTCAATACTTTAAAAATAAATATGCAATAATCAATGCTGGGTAAATGGATAATTATTTTTGAAAACGACAAAAATTTTATAACCGATTCTTTGGACCCTATCTTTTTCGAATAATAAATATACAATAGAAATTCTAGGAGTACAACTATAAAGTCAGAAAAATCCCTGTCCGCCTTCAAAAATAATTACCCATATAAAGAAAAAAAGGAACTTATAGACTAGAAGCAATAACAGCGCATCCTAAATAATTTATATTTATGCATATATTATCATAATTTATATTATATTTAGTCGATGTTAATTCCGCGAAACAATACCACGGCTTACGGCAATTTCGCGATTAAGTCACGTTTTACTTTTTCTTCATGATCCGGAAATTTCACTCGAATGTAATGCTGCACAGGTAAATGCATGAGTGACACCCCCATGTTTATTTTTAGTAAAAAATCTCTGCTGACATAAAAGCGAAATCAACATTGATTAAATAATTTTTTTCATAATTACATCACCGCATAAAAATTATCTCATGAAACCATGTAACGATTAAAGATGATAATACGCAATTGTTATGACACTTTAATAATTACATAATACGCAACACGTGACCTTAATTTTTGAAAAGCCTTCGTTCAAGCGTTAAATATACATTATTTAAAAAATCAATTGAATAAAATATGTTTCGCATAACGGCAAACTCACAAATTAAATATTTGCAACCAACCACACGTACCGAAAATAAACGAAATTAAGATTTATTTCATAAAAATTTATTCAGTTAACAATAAAATCATAAAATTTGGTGAACTCTAAATAGAATCAATTGATTTTGACACCAGTTACTGGTACAGGTTCAACGTTCCAAATGCTTTCAGCATATTCTTTGATGGCGCGATCACTATATTAAAAAAAAAAAAAAAAAGAGTATATTTAAACATTAATAATATTGTAACACAAGAATTGTTCAAATAATGAAGATACACATACGACGAAAATTTGCCCATACGAGCGGTACAGAGGATACTCTTAACTGTCCACTCCTCTTTTTTATTATAGGCCTCGTCTACTAAATCCTGTGTTTTAAGATAAGAATCGAAATCATCTGATATCAAGTAATAATCCTTTCCTATAGTCAAGGTATTTATTAAAGGTGAAAATATACGCGGATCCCCGTAATGACCCGATTCGATATCTCTTATCACCGCCTGCAATGAAGGGTCCATTTGTACATTTCGATACCTAAGAATGACAAAAAATGAGTGGTTGGCGTAATTAATAAAAGAATAAACTGTGAATACAAACCTATGGGCATGTCTCAAGTCTTCGACTCTATTTGCCAAATTTCCAAACATGAAAATATTATCATCGCCAATTTCTTCGTGAATTTCGATATTCGCACCATCGACAGTTCCAAGAATCAAACCACCGTTTAAAACAAATTTCATGTTACTGGTACCAGACGCTTCCGTGCCAGCAGTTGAGATATGTTGAGAAATATCCGAAGCGGGAATGATTATTTCGGCAACAGAGACATTGTAATCGGGAATAAAAACAACCTGATTAAAATAAATTGAGGTTTAGTAAATATCGGAACTTGAGAATTTCTACGGCTATACTAAGTACACGACTTTTCACCTTTAAGTTATCATGAATAGACTCATCGTTATTCACAACATCGGCTACGCTGTTTATGAGTTTGATGACCAGCTTGGCAATATGATAACCTATTAAATGTACATTTATCAATTATTCTTTGTGATGCAAGTGACAAGGCAAATGCGTTTTATACCTGGCGCTGCCTTTCCACCAAAGATGACAACTCGAGGAACCACCTTAGAACTTTTTTCAGCGGACAATTTTTTCAACGTGTTGTATCGGTGAATAACACTAAAGAATCAAAGTAACGATTTCTCAATCGATGAAATGCCATACTTAAATAATTCTTCGAACTAACCTCAAAATATTCATAAACTGCCTTTTGTATTCGTGAATTCGTTTTACTTGAATGTCAAACAGAGCATTTGGGTTAACCAAAATGCCGGTCTGAGCCTTGATGTAATCCGCCAAGCGAACCTGAATTGTTTAATAATAACAATGTTATCGGTAGAAGTAGTAAAACTCTTGACGACAAAGTAGACAAACCTTATTGGAGTGTTTAACTGCGACCCAACGCTTTTGGAATTCTTTATCCTCAACAAATTTTTCAAGATTTTTCAATAATCTCAAATCCTGTTTAGCAATTTTATATTAATTCAAAAGCTACTGTGGTGGCGGTCATAACATAATTCAGTTTTCACATTTCTCGCCACCTGTATTTATATATAATACATTTTTAGCAAATCTATCAAATACCTTTAGCCACTCCTTGCTTCCCAGTTTCTCGGTAATCAATTTGCTTAACTTAGGATTAGCTTGATGTAACCACCTAAAAAGATAATGAACATCTGTCAGTCGATTTAATCAAACAATGACCTGCCAAAATTATTGTTCCCATCAAGCACCTGCGAGGAGTAATTCCATTGGTCTTGTTCTCAAACTTCTCGGGACCGAAATATCGAACAAAGTCTTTGAAAATCTAATAAAACACTAAGTCAATCGATTTGATGATTAAAAAAATAAGTTCAAACTAGAATTGGTTATCTACCGTCTCTTTGATTAAATTTGAGTGTAATTCGGCGACGCCATTAACACGATGTGAACCTATTTTTTAAAACTTTAATTAGTTACCTGATCTACATCAAAACTAAATTGAATTTAATAATTGATTATTATTATTATTATTATTATATATATACAGTATATACATACCAACAACAGCAAGATGTGCCATTCTGTAATTGTCAAGAATACAACATATTAGGTAAGAAATAATGAGACAAGTATTCAGAGTTATCATAGTGCATCTACCTCACGAATTGTGGTGTTGCTTCTTCAATAATTGATAATTTGGCCAGAAGGTCGCGATCATCGGGATAAGTCTGTTCAACTTTTTGTAAAAAGAACTACACAATATATATATGTCAGTTTAAAAAAATAATAATGAATAGCAAACCTTTGAACGTAATTTATTTTAACTTACTAAATTGATATCGAAGATGATTTGCATATGCCTGGGCAACAAATATGCAACCATAGGAACAGGCCACTTTTCCATAGCCTCGGGAAGAATTGTATGGTTCGTGAAAGCGAATGTATTAGTAACGATGTCCCATGCTTCGTCCCAATCAAGACCCTACGCAAATCAAATAGATTCTTTAGAATAAAGAAGAAAAAGAAAAAAAAATTTTTTTAAAGAAAAAGTCACTAATCAAAGCGACCTACCTCCTCGTCGACCAAGATCCTTTGTAACTCAACAATGGCAAGAGTTGGATGGGTGTCTAGAAGATATAATAAATATTAATGGTTGATTCGATCTTTTGTAAAATCCATTTAAAAAAGGGGGGGTAAAAAGTGTGTACCATTCAACTGGATAGCAACCTGTTTATAAAATTAATTTATTATATGATGACTTATTATTTCAAGAGGTGATTCAATCGAAAAATTATTTACCATGTCAGGAAACTCGGTAAATGACCTTTGGGTTTTTTTAAATCGACGAACTCTAAATTAACCAAAAAAGAAATAAGTAGAATGCTCAAATTTTGTTAGGACGAAACCTTAAACCATACTTACATATCTGAAAGACTGGCGGCAACCCAAAAGTATTGTTGTTTGAGACGTAATTCTTTACCAACCATATGGTTATCGTTGGGATATAAAACAGCGGTAATGTTTTCTGCCTTCATTTGTTCTTCGACCGCCTGTTCGTATTGTCCCTCATTGAATCGCTTGAGATCAAATTGACGTTTCGGCTTACTGCTCCACAAACGAATATTGATGCAATTATTTGTGTCGTAACCTGCATATTATCAATTAAAGATGTGTTGATATTCTCGAGGTAAAATAAATTGTGCGCAGAAAATGCATCTCAAAACTAACCAGGAATGGGTACATCGTAGGCCACAGCTTGAACTGGCTCACCACCCTCCCAAACATATCGCACCTGACCTACTTCATCAGTGTATTTGTTAACCGTCCCGCCGAAACAAACGTCAATAACAATATCTAAGCGAGGCAATTCCCACGGATTATCGAAATTTAACCAATAATCTGGAAATTCAACTTGGTATCCATCCTTTAATCTATACATTCAGAAGCTTTTGAACAATTGTCTTCGATTGACCAATTAATCGTGGACCCTGTAAATATAAAACTACCTTTGTTGAAAGATCCCATATGTATATCTAAGCCCATAACCCCAGGCCGGATAGTCCAATGTAGCAAGAGAATCCATGTAGCACGCTGCGAGACGACCTAAACCTCCGTTACCAAGAGCAGCATCAACTTCTTGGCCAAGGACGTCTTCCATCCTGAAACCCAAGTCCTCGATGCCCTCTGATTACAGTAATAGGATGTAGAAAACGGAAACACAATTAACTTGCTTTTATTGTTACATAAGTCAAAAGAAGGCACTACGAAAAGCATACCTCCATAACTTTCTTTTAGTCCCAGATTGAGAAGAGCATTATCTAACGATCTACCCAACAAAAATTCCAGTGAAAGGTAATAGACACGTTTCGCAGTGGCTTCGGTATGAACCTATGCGAGATGAAGATGTAAAACCATCAGCTCATCTGTGTAGATCTTTCCATAACAGGAACAAACGTAATTATGATCTAACTCACTTGTTGTGTATCATTCCAACGTTTAATCAATCGATCCCGAACACTATCGTAAGAATGATGGAAGTGAGTGATGAAAAAAAAAATGCATTTTTTTTTCGCGGCAACTTACGTATGAGCAGTTGCCTGGTATGCACTGAAGTTATCAACGTTGAAAGCAGATCTGGCAAGTGTCGTGGTCACGTGACGGACAAAGGACCTTTGGAAGCTTTCCTTGTCTGCTTGGGAAATTTTATTATATACGAGTAATGCATAATTATTGTAAAAACACTTTGTACGAACCATCTGCTTCACCGACGCCATATTTATCCCATAATTCCCAAGTCTTTGGAGCCCATTTTGCTTTTTCTTTTTTAAGGTCAAAGAATCCTGTGTAGGAACGATGGTGGTGCTTTCCATGCGACTTCGTACTGTTTGCTGTAGCTTCTGCTGTGGCCATGATAATATGGTAGGGAGAGAAAGTGAAGGTCGAAATCCGAATGCTTATATTTGAAAATTATGGGTATGACGTAATTAAAAGCTAATGAAAAATTAGGTTTTATTATTGTATTCCGCAGCAATATAACTATTCACTTTACGTACTTTACGTGAAACGCAATGCAATCCTACGAATCAACAATGGAAAATGTTCTTCTCACAACGACTCCCGGTGCCTTCATATCTTCTCAACCTCCAACACCGGATGTTGTATCAGAGATTGACCGAGAAGAATTTTCCTTTCTTCCTCATATTATACAAATCCTCGAAAAGGTGGAGACGGGTAAAAATGAACAGGAAATAAAAAATATGGTATTCCAAGGAACTCGACTTTAATTTATACATTTTTTTGGGCTGTGTTGTACTGAACGAAGTTTTTCCGGTAACCTACCCGAATTCGCGAGAAGGCGAGGAAACTTAAAGAGAAATTTCGGCGGTGTCAACAAATTTTACACGAGTTGCCGGGTGCCGACTTATCAAGAGAAGAACAAGAACAAATCTTGCGAAAAGAGAAACAATTACTGGACCAGAAAAGGTGAGCAATGTCCAATTGCGAATTTTTTAATTAAATATATGCTTATTATGAATTTCCTGGAATGTTCGTCCGGATAAGGGCTGCCCGACAGAAATACTTGGAACTTCCGATAATGTCTAGCGTAACAAACGAAAATGATGGAGATTCGGTTAATACTATTCAAGAAGAAACGACTATGGACATACGGGAGGGTTAAATTTATTTATTATCTTAATATAAAACAATATCATAGGATAATACTTTTTTTTTTTCATTGAGCGCGTGCTACTATCTATACTTTCTGTAATTCTGTAATCTTTTTTTTTTTCTTCTTCAATTATAGAACCAGAAAAACGCCTACTTATTGACTTCTGCGTTGAATGGTCCATTATTTGTGATCCCAAGGACTTAATTATTATATTTCTGCATATGGTTACAGTTGCCTTGTAATAAAATAATAATATATTTTCTTCAGATTTATGTTAAATCTCAAGGCACATTTTATTTTTAACATATTATTAATAAATCAATGAGTTAGATTAAAACAAGTATATTAAATGACAACAATCTTGATAAAATGGTCAAATATATAATAAATAAATATTTAATAAAGTAACTTATTTAATATAATGATAAATTAAAAGTAATAAATTTTAATAAATAAAAATTTTGATGGATTTATGAAGAACAATTCAAATCCTTAATGATAATTAAAAGAATCCAATATTTAATTAATATAAACAAGTATCTATAAATATTATAAAAAATTAAAACTTATGAAGAAAATTATTCAAAAAAATAAAATAAATCAAATAAAAGTTTTAGATTAATAAAATTATTGAATAATATATAATAAAAATTTTACTTAAAAATTTGAAATAATATTATTGAAAAAATAAAACTTTTAAATAGAAAGTTATCTTTAATTTATATTAAATTTATATAATTTAATTATCAATTATATAAAATTCTATTTTAATATAATTAAATAATAGATTATTAAATTACTAATAAGTATTTATTATATTATTTTTATATTAAATTTTTTGTTAATTAGTTTAATTAATAGGATAAATCTTTTATTGAGGTATCAGTAGTATATTTTTAGATTATATAAGCAATTTACAGTATATAACCTTTTTAACTATCTATCCCTAATTAAATATATCAATTTTATCACATAGTAGTATCATTTTCATCAATTGCCTTGCTTTACCTAAGTCTATAGTATTCTGAAAATCTACTATCTAACTTCTTATTATTTTAATCTTGAAGAAACTTTGTAATGTATGTTCTTTAGTAAGAAAGATTTTATTTATCACTTAATGATAATGAATATCATAAATAATCATTACTATATATTGTTCTTAGAGAACTGATTAAAATCTAGATTTTTTTATATACAGCAATTATGTATTAATATTTCAGTAGTTCAATAATGTGTTATATGAATAATATATAGTCTTCTATTGTAATCATTTTTAATTACTTTTCAAGTATAACTTATCGAGTATATTTCTTGATCAATTAAGACTTTAGATTTTTCCTAATATATTCACTTATTATGATTTTTATTATGATACTAATACTAATTACCAGCCTTGCTACAAGTTGTTCTCTCTGATAACTATTGATTTCATGATCCAAAGGATCTCTTATTAATTTAAGTTTGTTATGATCTATTATATTTTCGATTAAGGCAAATAATTGAAGTTTTTCATATTTTCTATAAGAATGTTTTTTAAAAAAAAATAGATATTTACACTTCTGTTGGAGGCTTGAATCAATCAAAGTTTTTTTTAACTATTTTGGTGTCTTTATATATTCTAGATGGCAAGGATCTTCTTTTTTTTTCTAATACTAAAACTAATCAAGACTTGTATAATCTAATTTATTATATTGTGATCAAATAATAGATTTTTATTGATTGATTATATACAAGTATACATATAACTGAATAACATATATTTTATACAATATAACCTATATTACAAAAATCATTTTTCAGTGGGATTGAACTGATAATTTGTAGATAATAATTTGAAAGTGCATCAACTATACTATTGACTCACAGATCTTAATCTATAATTAAATTGTTTTTTTTTTTAAACCTGTAGTTATGTCAGTACTATATATTTATTAATTATTATGAAAACTGATAGAGATATATAAAGCAATTGCATTATAGCTAAACTAAAAACTTGTACTAATACACTCATCAATAGCTTTCAATTTTCAAAAGAGTTTTAGTCTCTAAATATAACTTTGAGAACAATATTTTACTTTGTAATAGATTTTGTGTAAATACCCTTCTAATTTATCTATTATTGCTAGTAAGTTATTCCTACTTATTATTCTTCAAGAAACTGTTTTCAAGAAACTACAAAAGAAAAAAGGAAAAATAAAGAAAAAGGAAATATCTAAAACTATACAAGTGCACTATTTGAAAAAGAAAATGAAAAAAAAAATAAAGTGATTCATATTTTCTAAAGGACCTCTACTAAAAACTTCTTTTCATTAGGAATCAATCCTTCTAAATAGTAATCACAATTTTGATCCAAATTTGATTGATCTATAAATCAGATACAAATCAAATCAAATCAAATTTCAAAATTTTTTAATCCAATCAGATTCAGATTGAATCAAATTTTAAATTAATAAAATTATTGGATTTAAATCAGATTCAGATCAAACCCAATATAATTCAAATTAGATATATACCAGTCCATATAAATTGTTATATAATTATTTAATTTTATTTAAACTGAACTATCTAGGAAATTAAAATAAGTTTTTTTTTTAAATAATAATATAAAAGATAAATTAAAAAAAAATTCAATACTTACTTTTCTTGATGATTTTTTAAATATTTCTTTATAATATTATAGTTTTACTACTTAATTACTTTCATCATATTCTTTGTTTTTACTAATTTATTTCTTTTAAATATAGAATACGAAAACTCATTTGATAGCATACAATTTGCACATGATGAAAGTAGCAGTTTAACTAGCCATAACAATATTGACATTGAAAATACTAATACAAGCAATTTATCAGAATCAACCTCAGTTACCTCAACAATTTCTAGAAGTAAAATATGGAAATACATTACAAGAAGTGCAAATTTTAAAGAGGACAAAAAGACTATCTGTAAATATAACAGGACAATACAGTATATACTTGCACTAGTTGAAATTATATCATTCAGCAGCTGAATTATTGTTGAATTTGATTAAATTTAATAATAAAAATATTGCTGAATTCTTTTTGATTGCTGCCACTTGGCATATTACATTTCATCAATAAAGTGACAATTAAAAATTCGGCAATCAAAAATTTGGCAATCAAAAACTCGGTAATCAAAAATTCAACAATCAAAAATTCAGCAATCAAAAATTTGACAATCAAAAAATTCAGCAATCAAAAATTTATTAATTATAAGTTTAACAAAAAATTCATCAAAAATTCAATAACCATTTAGCAAATATTCATTAAAAGTTCATTACAAAATTATTTATTAAAAATGATATTAATTTATTAACAATTCATCAAAAATTCATCAACTATTCATTAAA